ATTCATATTAGAGGGTGTTACTGGTTAAAGCTTTGTCAAACTCCAAATACCTGTGGCATCTTCATTGGTGAGCCCAACGTGATCTGGTACACCAAATTGCAAACTGTGTCTGTTCCTTTATAGAATTTCACAAATCATTGCTTTATTCTAATTTTTATGTATTGTGATATTTTTTCGTGTTTCTGGATTCTTTTCACTCGTTCATCCTCGTAGTTGATGTTTCACCATGACTGAACAGACACCCTAGGTACTTAAGTTAAAGACAATGTCCCCACCTTCGTTCCAACTGATGCCCCTCTGCTTCTGATTCGCTGAAACCGACTTCTACGAGCACGGCGTGAACGACACACGTGCACGATTCGTCGCAGTAGTCAAGGCACTACCCCGTGAATTCAACAGGTACACAATGATGTGACTTCCGCTTAAGACCTTATGGATTAAACAGTCATAACATGACAAATCTATAATATTAGGATTAGGTCTATTATTATAGCAGTACTAATAACGAAGTAGATCATAATTCAAAGGGTAATTATAACGAACCATTGTGTTCATGGTTAACTAGAAACGTAATTTTATAGAGCAACTCTATCACTAGCGACAAGAAGCCAAAACTTCGTAATAAGTATGTATGGCAACGAAATCTCAATACTAGACTCAAACTCGTTGGACAATCCAAAAAGCTAAGGTGGATTCGACCAAGTAGAACTACGTCATCTTATGTGGCGTGGAAAGCCTTTTTGAGTCACCTGCATTAAAATATACCAAACACAAACTGCCTTTTTTAACTGGTTATCAAACGGTGCAAGAACACTATGTAATCAGAACTTTTTCTCGCATAGAAATAGCGTTCTGAGAGTTAGTTAATGCATTTCCAACATCCACCAACAAATATTCACATGAGTGATTTCAGAAGATAGTTAACGATCAGCATTTACTAACTGCTCAACGCCGCCACCTACCAACAATAAAGTATCATCATTCAACAAGAAAACTCGATAGTAGGCCAATCTTGATCGAAGTCAGATGATAAAAGCCATGCCATAGAACACTAGAAAATATAACAGCTTGGTTATATTATTATTATTATTATTATTATTAATGGCTTTATTCAATATTATATTTTGGTACAATATAGAATATATATGAGCCCTGGGAGCACATTATATAGTGTAAGAAGCTAAGGAATAACAGCACTCTCAAACAAACACTCTGGAGGGATTTTCGGCATATTTCTTTCATGACATCTGAGGGATATAAATTTACTGCCCCAGCTTAAAGCATCCTAACTAATATGGATAGATCAGTTTGACCGAAACCAATTACAAATATTCAAACACGAAGATGTAGTCGCCTAATTTGGAAGGGGTATAAAACTAAATTTCTTCTTCTCAAGGAGAGAATAATGCACAAAGGAAAGAGAAATTCCAGGTAAAATAAGGAATGATAATCTAATCTAAAGACAAAACATTAGTGCGATGTGATAAATAACACCTTCACACCATACGGTAAGAATGAACGTCCACGTCATTGTGGAACAATCATTTGGGTAGAATTCATCATTGTACATCACTCTACACAACATTGACTGTGAGAAAGTATTTAATAGCTTTGATAAGACAACACTATGGAGTCTTATTCGACACTATGGCGCGCCCGAAGTGATAGTCAACATCATACAGAATTCCTATGGTGGACTGAACTGCAAAATCGTGCGTTCGAAATAAAGACCGGTGTCAGGCAAGTTTGCTTACTTCCACCCTTTCTCTTTTTTTGGTGATCTACTGGGTCATGAAGACGTCAACAGCTGGAGGGAAGCACGGGATACAATGAACAGCTAGGATGAAGCTGAACGATCTAGACTTCGCAGATGATCTAGCTCTTCTAACGCACAGGCAACAACAAATGCAAGAGGAGACAACCAGTGTAGCAGCAGCTTCAGCAGCAGTGGGTCGCAATATACACAAAGGGAAAAGCAAGATTCTCTGATACAACACAGCATGCAACAATCGAATCACACTTGACGGAGATGTGGAAGATGTAAAAACATTTACATATCTGGGCAGCATCATTGATGAACACGATGGATCTGATGCAGATGTGAAGGCGCGAATCGGTAAAGTAAGAGCAGCATATTTACAACTGAAGAACATCTGGAACTCAAAACAACTGTCAATCAACACCAAGGTCGCAATTTTCAAAACAAAAGTCAAGATAGTTCTACTGTATGGGGTGGAAACTTGGAGAAACACGAAAGACATCATCCAGAAGATACATGTGTTTATTAACAGTTGTCTACACAAAATACTTCGGATCCGTTGGCCGGACACTATTAGCAACAACCAACTGTGGGAAAGAACAAACCAGATCCCAGCAGAGGAAGAAATTAGGAAGAAGCGCTGAAAGTGGTAAGGACACACATTGAGGAAAGCACACAATTGCGTCACGAGACAAGCCCTCATATGGAATCCTCAAGGCCAAAATAGTAAAACCAAAGAACACATTACGTCGAAAAATGGAGACAGACATGAGATAAATGGACAAGAATTGACTAGAACTAGAAAAGAAGGCCCAGAACAGAGTGGGTTGGGGAATGCTGGTAGGCGGCCTATGCTTCATTGGGCGTAACAGGCGTAAGTAATACTTGCTCCTCCGACGGGTGATTCTAAACGAATAAAACAGCTACTGTGGATGGCACTAACACCACATCGTGGGAGAACCTATTGTCACGACCTGTATGCTTCAGAGACAAAAATAACACCTGTAGGATAGTTTGCATCTAAGCCAAGCGAAGAGTTTTACCAGCAACTGAAAAATAACTTCAAAATAATCAACCTGACAGCAAATCGATGAAGCAAACGAAGCATTGGGTTCTGTATTTAAGTGAATCAACGGAGATCTTGTATCAACTCGGGTTGACTAACTCATAGTCGATCGCAATTGGCACGAAGAGGAAGTCAACTGTGAAAAGCGGAAACATCAAACCAATCGGATGACATGGCTCATCATTGCAAGAGGAGTGATTCTGTATAACTTCTCTCTACTTACCTTAAATATATTGTTCTATCTTCAGCCTGAATGTGTTCTCTATGAACTTTAGACATGTTAAATGGTACGAAACGATTAGTCACTGAAAACAAATCAGATCTTGGTTAACCAAGAGTCCAAGAAACGACCGTGAGCAGTGGTTAGAAACGAAATCAAGAGAGATTGAAATGGTAGTGGCTCTAAGTGACACCAGACAGCTTTTCGGACTAATAAAGGAAACCGGAAGTAATAATTCAAGTGTGAGACTATTTCGGAAAAACATAACAATTAACAGCTCCCAGTCTAGACGTTTAGAACGACGTGCGGAACATTTTAAGGAGCAGTTCATCTAGCCTTCAGACACTCTACAACTACCCTCCATTCCCAGACAACCTGAATAGAACATTGAAGTAGGTCTCGCGACGATAGCTGAGGTTTAGAAAGCTATAGCTAATCTGAAACGAGGAAGAGTAGCTGGTCCAGATGGAGTGACCACAAAGGTCTTTAAAGATGGTGGTCCATCTTTAGCGGTTAGATTGACTAATATTTTAGCTAAACTTTGGGAGTTGGACGTAATCCCATCTGACTGGTCGCAATCACTTATTGTCCCAATTTATAAGAGAGGGTCGAAATCATCCTGTGACAACCATAGAGGGATTAGTTTGACTAACATAGCATCTAAAATATTAACCTCAATAATTATCGTTCACCTAATTAAGACTAGTGAACTGCAAACATGTGAAAATCAGGCTGGCTTCGACCACATAATCCCCACACGACCTACTGCTCAAAATAACGTTCTGGTTGTGCGAATTTCCAGGAGGTCCACCTATCGACTTAAAATACGCAGATGACCTAGTCCTGTTTGGTGTAGACGCTGATAGCATGCAGAATCTGATCTTCTCCCTCTAGTTAGCGGGGTTGGGGCACATTGAAATAGTTTAGCTTTTCTTTTTGCTGTGTTGCAGATCTTCGTTCCATTTGCCAGTTATGATGTCGTAATCTGTTCAAACACAACACTATGCTACTAACTTTGTCTCTGTTTAGATAAGTTTTGAATCCTTTACTAATATATTCTATCGGCCTCATATTTGCTATAAGTTGTCCTGTAGACATTTATAACATGAAAAATTAAATCACAGGTTTTTTTCCGATTTAAGCATCACAATACTGTTAGTCTTCCATTCATTTCCGTTTAGGATCCGTTTCTCCCCCTCTAAATGCAAGTTGTTGCTTCCGGGCTGGCCTGAATCTGTAGAACGCGTCGATAACTTCACTTATCTTGTAAGTCTGATCAGCTCTAATAGGTTGGCGTGTGACAAAATCTCTGCACGGATTCAGAAAGCTCTTTTGGCTTTTGCCAATTTATGTCACCTTATGGAGAAGGCGAAATAACCGCCTATCAAGTAAGGGACGAGTATACTGTGTGATAGTTCGTTCTGTTCTACTTTACGGTTGCGAAATGTGGCTATTAAGAGAAGAATATACTCGTAAGCTACTAGTATTTGACCACAGATGCCTTAGAAATATTGCTCGCATCTGCTGGGGTCACCGGGTAAGTAATAATAATAATAATAATAATAATAATAATAATTTATTCTCAAATAACAGTTTGTTACATGAGGCATGCCAGTTTACAGGCAAGATCAAATTGATACAAATGATACAATATACACTGCAATAAATTACATAGCTGGGTTGATAATTTATAAGATATGAATGTCGATGGTTTAAATCAGTACTACAGTTGGCGCGCTTCATGAAAGTCGCGTTGCGAATGTGCGACTGATGGTCAAGAATAGGTCCATTGAAGGTATGGGCTTCTAAAAATCGCAACCTTATTTCCTTCTGGGATATCCAAGGCTTTAAGGATGGTGCAGGATGAAGTCACCAGTTCCATATCTCAAGGGGGCTGAAAGAGGGAGCAAGTAAAAGAAAACACGAGAGGCAGAGTAGCCAATATTCATGAAATAATGCTTAAGGTATGATTACTCAGTCTAATTTTCCTTTATTAAGGTATTTGTTAAGAAAGAGCATTTTAATAGGTTAAAGAAAATAAGTGTTGACAAGGTGTGAGTGGACATACAACTGACAAATGGGGGCGATTCGGAAAAGAGCTGAGAGTATAAGATTATGTGTGATTATAAAATAAAATATAGTGCTAGAAACAGTATTGTGATATACATTTGGCTGTCTTCCCTTTAATATCGAAGCTATTAGAGCCTCTTTCGTTTTTTTTTTTTTAAATATTTTCCCCCCAGTTATTATAGGGTCTTGATTAGGCTTCGTATATTAGCGAATTGTCTAGTTTGCTTGTAATAGGATTTCTAGGTAGGAAGTGAAACCAATTCAACGTTCGTAACACGACTTAAAGAGGTATTTTGCGTGAATAGATCAGCTTCAATACCATAAGTTCGTGGCATCCCACTAAACCATAAGGAGCCGTAATTAAACAAAATGTTCTGCCCTACAGACATGGGTGGATTGAAGTTATCTCCCCACCTTCATGTTTGCTGGTCAGTAACGCCACCCTCCCTCCTTTTGTGATGTTAGGCTCTCTTACGTTTGTGGTAAGTATGAATACTGCTTTAATCAAAGCCCATAGTTGGAATATACTGTCTCTACTAGGTCCATGTTACAAGCAAATCAGATAGTTAAAAAACTTGTTTTATGGGTTAGATGTCCACATAGTATATCACACTGCTATGAAAATAACTAATGGTTTAAAGAAGTAAGGACTAATAGCAAATCAAAAGATATGAGAGGGTATAAAATCGTAGAAAAAAAAATTTTCAGGGTAAGACGCAGAGTATTAGGGAATGATGGTAAATCAGTTGATGAGGTTGTGAATCTTCATAGACTGAGATGGTTAGGCCACGTGTTACGTATGCCTGAACACCGATTACCACGACGTGCAATGCTAACCGGTGTTGGAGATGGTTGGGAGAAAGTTGTGGGCGGCCAAACCAAAACGTGGCATCAGTCATCCAAGTTACTAACTTCTAGTCTGAGCCATGCTGGTAGATGCAGATTACTTGGTTGGGGTCCGCGTGACTTTCGTAACCAATGGTTGGAGACCCTTGGTGACATGGCTCAGAATCGATCACAATGGCGTCGTTGTATACACTTTTTGTCTTGCCTTAAATCGTGAGATTAAAATGGCTTTACGTATTTCTTTCTAATTCTTTATTCCTGTACTATATCCTTATATGTGATCTTTGTTTTATATATTACCACTACTGAATTAACCACTTCTATGAATCCGGTGTTCATCCTTTTGTGCTAATGAGGTATGACAACTTGGACCGATGCATATATGTGCCTGGTCCTACGTTGTAGCTGATTCACTGAGTAAACGCCTGTATTTAACATACAGTTAGAGAAACCAAAGATTTATCTGTGAAACCTTAGACTTCAGGCCACCATCGCAGTTTGTTATCTAATAACACAAGTTCTGTCAACCCTGTACCCGACCAATACGAACTCTCAAGAATATAGGAGACGAATGTCTCTTTTACAGCTCACGACGACTGAGGTGGAGTGCCCAAAAAATCGCTCGTTTCATGTCACTGGCATAAATTCAGGCTTGAAATTTTTTGCAGATGTTGGTGCTGCTCTTAATATCACTACTCACAACAAAACCCAGCTCTTTCGGAAAACTTCACCACTTGTATATGAAGCTGTCTACAAAATGAAATCGTATTTTTTGGGAAGAAAAAATTAACGCTAGACTTCTGGTTGGATGCAGTTGTAGCGTGGCGTCGAGTCGAGACTGACTATGTACACCGCTACCAAAAAGCTCGTTCCAAATGACTCCATAAAAACCCCGAGAAGCCAAATATCAGAAGGCAGAAAATGGACCAAGTCAAAATTTATTCACTGGCGATCTCGTGGTATCGAAAGGATACCGAGATCGTACCAGGATACAAGCTTGGTTACAGAAGGTAACCGAATTCGCGCGGAATTACAATCGAAGTGTGTGAACAAGAATGGAAGCCCAATATAGCTGTCATTAGCACAGTCAAACAAAAGCACATTAAAATAAACACTGGTACAACTGTTTATAATAATAATTGTTTTTATTGAACCAGTCGTGTTCTCGTAATAAACGTGAGTCACTACAGGAGCCCCCCGCTAGAAAGGGTTTACACTTTCGATAAATAGCGGTTTAAATCGTGGGACTGATCGGCTGACAAGCGATTGTAGGACGAACGGATTGGCAAACAGGAAAGCGATCGTTGATCGTCGAGTTGCCAACGAAGGTTATTTTCGGAGAACGGTACCAGAATCGATGTGCTGTACTTGTTGATTGAGTTGGCATGCTACACGAGTGGTTTGTATCCAGAATCTGAAGATGGCGTTCGTAGGGAATGCGGACCAGAAACGCTGCAGACGTAGGACGAAACCACGTTGAGCCAAAAGACCAAAAGCGACCGCAACGACCAAACGTATGCCAAACATTCGAAACCAATATATCGACTGAGTGCGTTGACAAGAGCGTGGGTGGCCAGTCCAGCTTTCGCCAAAGTTGACTGAAGTCGACGGAACCAAACGGAGATGGTCGAAGGCGTGGGCTCAGGAAACAAAAAGAAATCAAAAAAAGAAGAGTGTAGCATGCGTGTAGTATAGGAATAATCCTACACCGTATCGGTTGTTGACTGTGCGGCTAGTCACGAAAGCGTACGGGCTACCGTACTCGGCGACCGGAACGTGAGACAGTAGTCTCGTTCGCGTCGCGTGAGCCTGCAATCTCATCCGAAGTCAAAGGCGGCGTGGTCTGCTGATCTGGACGTGAGACAGTTGTCTCGTCCGTAGACGGTGCAGATGACGCGTGCTGTTGACTGGGACGTGAGAATGAGGCCTCAGATGTATCTAGCGTGAGACCTGAAGATGGTTTGAGGATCCCGCTAGTAGGTTTGATAGGTCTAGCATTGAATCTCAGTTTATCAGATAGGGCACTGTCATCGACGTGTGCTGGTTTGAGACGATCAATGCTGACGATTTCGACGCGTCCATATCGATCAACCTTGAAGGTCTTTTCGTGACGAGCGATCACGTGAAAAGAGCCTTCGTAAGGTTGTTGCCAAGGTTTGCGTACCGAATCTACTCGTAAGAAAACATGTGAACAGGCAGATAACTCTCGAGGGAGAGCGACCCGTCGATGTTGTATTCGAGTTGACACCGGAGACAGCGTTCGCATAAATGCAGACAGTCGATGGACGTAGTCTGATTTACCGAAATCAGGTCTGCTCCGTGGTGTGAAGGATTCTCCGGGCAGACGCAATGTCGTGCCGTATACAAGTTCAGCGGCGGAACATTGGATATCTGCCTTTAAGCTCGTTCCGATCCCTAAAATAACGAGCGGTAAGGTTTCGTGCCAGTTGCCGTTTTCGTGTGCTCGTAGAGCACTTTTAAGTGGGCAGTGAAACCGTTCAACTTAACCATTTGGTGCTGGGTGGTAGACGGATATGCTTAAGCGTATGCATTCCGTACCAAGCAGCCGGGTCAGCGAGGAGAATCGAATAAAGCGTGGGATTTACCGTCACGCGAATAAAAAGTGACAAGGATTCGGTACAAATACGTGGGAGTCTATTATATTAATACTATTCTTATCGTTATCCGTCATGTCGAGTATATTATGTATTAAAAGATAATATGAAAATATACGACAGACGTGGATAGATAAATAATAGACTCACCGAACTGGCTTCTTTGGAAGATTTCACCAGAGGTTGAGGCGTGTTCCAAACTTTGGGATCACCAATTGTAGCGTGGCGTCGAGTCGAGACTGACTATGTACACCGCTACCAAAAAGCTCGTTCCAAATGACTCCATAAAAACCCCGAGAAGCCAAATATCAGAAGGCAGAAAATGGACCAAGTCAAAATTTATTCACTGGCGATCTCGTGGTATCGAAAGGATACCGAGATCGTACCAGGATACAAGCTTGGTTACAGAAGGTAACCGAATTCGCGCGGAATTACAATCGAAGTGTGTGAACAAGAATGGAAGCCCAATATAGCTGTCATTAGCACAGTCAAACAAAAGCACATTAAAATAAACACTGGTACAACTGTTTATAATAATAATTGTTTTTATTGAACCAGTCGTGTTCTCGTAATAAACGTGAGTCACTACACAGTATCGCTGGGTGTTCACCGTAGTCGATTTTGATCTCTTAATATCGATTATGAATTTTCCGCAGAGATATGAATTTTTAGTGGACACTAAAAATGACTTTCGACGCTGAATGAAACTTTGAGTTATACAAAAGGCAAAGTAAATCATGTCAATTGCCTAAATTTAAAAATTTCACCTGTAACAACTGCGAAATTCTAGGATATACTCACCGTTTCGAAACTAAAAAATCCGAACCCTCAGCCCCCCAATGGTAAGCTGAAGGTAAGTCATACGACCAAAACTGAAGTCTCCCCTGTGTTTGCTAGACTCAGGAGACTGGCAGCAGATCACCTGAAAAGCACTAGCGCCGAATTTCACCACATGCTACTACTGGTTATCATCCGTCCCTTTGAAAACCAATAGCAACACCTTTTGTATATGTTCTCAAAGAAAAATGAAGGCGACTGGCGACCGTGTGGGAATTACATATCCATCAGCCTTCAAGAAGGACCAGATATGTATCCAGTACTTCATATCCAAGATTTTACAAACGGCTTACATGATATAAACGTATTTACTGAAACTGACTTAAGGCATATATCAATATCCTGGTATCTGAAGAAGATAGCCGTAGGATAGATATTTCTACACTGTCTATTTCCTTCCATGTCCACGATACATTCTATATGGGACTGATAATTTATCAGTTGTTATTGTACGTTTCCTTTTGTACTTGGTTACTTTATACAAACAGTGGAGCAATTCTTCAGGTCTAAGAAACTTTAATTACTTGTTTTCTTCAAAGTAGAGCCTTCTTACTTTTTGCTTGAGAGCGACTCAGGAGGTGGTTCAGTACACATCTGATAGTTGGACGACCGAAATGCCGATATTCGGCTTGAACGCAGAACTAGCGAGCCAAAATTCATTCGATTAGATCAGACTACGTTCTTCTGTATAGCGTACAAAGCGTTTTTGAGTTAATCGTATGGAATTATATAAAAACACAGACTGTGTGCTCAGTTTAAACGGTTCTAATTTAAGAAAGAGAAAAAATTGTATTAAAAATACAAAATACCCTAAAACGGTACATCATGTACTGTACAGTTAAAAGTTTCTCTAACACAAATTAACCTGCTAAACAACAAAAGAAATAGGTAGTACAAGGGTTTTCAATAACTGAGAAAAAATATTCCTAAAAAGATGGGATCAGATTCTACAATGAGGGATTCCAGCATCTTTCTAAGCAGACAGTCAAAGGTTAACAGTTACACATTGAAACATGCCGTGATCTTGGGTTTAGACAATGATGGAATTTCCATATAAGATCTCATAGATTAGGTAGCCACAACATAACAAATCTATAAGTTTAGGATTAGGTCTATTACTAAAGTAGTATTGATACTGAACTAGACAATAGTTCTACAAGTACATTTTAGGTCATACAGAGTCTACAACCAATACTCAGTCAGACAAAAACGATGAACCTAAGGAGAAGAAGTAGGATTGATAACGAAAATTTGGACTCCTGTTTATACTGTAGGGGTTGTGGTGTTTGTACGAACTAATAATTCCTTCGTACTTGATTACCAGCTGACTTCGAATTGCAAACATAATTTGCCCATTTGGGCTCATTTGGTTCTACTTGTTGTAAATTTTACTATTCCGGGAATTCCTAGTTAATAGAATAGTTCAAATACTTCTAATTGTCGTGAAATCAGTCGTGTCAGAACATTATAACTCAACTTTTCACTTATTCCTTTATTTTGTATAGGCATTATATTTGCTATTATTTCGTATTGAACGTCGAAGAACTTTATGTGTTCGTCAAAAGTAATCTCGCTCTCCATCTTTTATGTTCATTGATCCAGGTAAAGTCCTACCTACCATTAGTCTGGTTACTTCTATCGAAAAGGTGGGTGACACCCACGGGCACGAAAATATTAACGGTCCAGAAATGAAAAGAACCACCACTATTTTTGACATTACTAGTGAAGAAGTCACAGGTATTCGGAGTTTGACAGCGCTTTAACCAGTAACACCTAATATGAGTCGTACTCACCAGGTGAAATCAAAAGACAGAAGCGAGGGGGTTCGAAGATATATTTGATAGTGTATTAAAACTAATGTGGTCAGTGTCCGAGGTCAAAAACGTACAGAAATATTTATTTTGGGGATTTATTTACCACTACACTAGCCTCGATACATCTGCTTTCAAGCCAGGCTATCACTTTAGTACCATCCGAGGGTTTAGGAATAATTCTCTTTTACTGTCGATTTCACTACAGAAACTGAGGCTGTGTTAACTAGTATGTGATCAGGTCTTCTCAACACTGCATTAAGATAGTGCGTGATCACCATCTGTAGGATGGTATGGAACCCTTTTTGGCACTTACCAGGACCCAAAAGTCTACTAAGAATGCTGAAGTGACTTATTGTTTCCGGTTTATTCTAACTTCATACTAAAAATGGTTTGAAATCTCAAAATGGTTTAAAGAAACATATAAAAAAAGAAGTCATATACTTAGGCCATTTGTTTTACGATATCCAGGTAAGAGAGCAGCAAAAGAGAGTTACAAAACAACATTATCTTATCAACTATATGGATTTAAAATTAAAGATGACACAAGTATTCGGAGTTTGACAACACCTTAATCAGTAACACCTTTTATGATCTAAACGTGCCAACAAGTGAAATCGGAAGTTGAAGGTAGAGAAGCTTGAAGATATATTTGAAAGAGTACCGATATATCGAGAATTGACTACTCTAGCCTGACCAGCAGTTTTAGGGGAAGTGGAGCACAGTGTAACACTCGTGATCTGTTGAGGATGCATGACCAAGTGCCTTAGGTAGGTGAGTCCATTAAAACTTATGAGGTCAGCATCAGATATCAAAAAATTACAGAGCTACTGATTTTAAAGGAATTATTTACAACCACGAAATGATTGGAATTCGTGAACTGGCCATCTTATTGAACTCAAATAATTGTAAGAGTGTACTTCAATTCCATGAACGAATCTCACACAGTCTAACTAATTGTATAAATGTAAAATTTTGATCACAATGGTTTACATCCATTAACAGTGATAAACACCACCGGTTTTCAGATGTAGACTCAACGCTCGACTCATCCTCAATACCATTTTTCTCACTGAAGAACATATATTCTGTGTAAATATTACATCTTCGGATCATACCAAATCCGAAATTCGTTTAAATGAGTGCTATGCTGTTGACTGGAGCCGAAAATCCCTTATTTGCGACTCCATGTCAATTATCAATGACTTTCTTTAGAAGATAAAGTTTTTTTATGGTAATACAGGTTTATTGTAGCTACAGACAGCAAAAGCTATCACCTTAATTAGAGTCTATATTGTCCATAAAATTTGTCATTACTCTGGGTATAAGAGTAAAGGTTAAATCACGTTTCATATTGCTAGTCGATGGTAAATTTGACTACTCGAAGTGATGCAGCTCATGTTTAACTTATTAAAAGATCTCAGAAATAATTGAATCTTACACAAAAATGTGATCTCAGTTGTTATTAATCCTAAAATAATCTTTAACGATGCTATCATCCAACCATTTAGTCCGGTAACTTGCTATAAAAGGGATTTTAACGGACGTTACGCCTGTAGAAAATGAAAACCAACGTAATCGCTTAGTTCTGACAATTTCATTAGTATAACGATGACTTCCAAACCCACGGAATTACCATGGGGTGACTTATAACTCATGCCTTGTACAAAATATTTTAGAATGAGGATGGAGTTCCGGATAATTGACTCTATCATCAACGCACCGATTCGTGGAACTTTCTTTGACCTTATAAATATTGGGAATGACAAATACGAAAGTAAATCTGAGCTTATAGAATAAATGACCGTAACTAAGAGATAACACAGAATATTTATGTAAAGTGACGTTGTTGGGAATATTGAATGGACTTATTTTCGTCCGAGTATCTCAAAAAAGAGCCTGAACTAGGCCTTACTAACGAGCCTAGCAGTGGCTGGTGAACCCGACCTCCTTATTATCAAAAACGTAGCAGTAGTTTTATTGTTCCTTTTCATTTATAGACGTGTTAAAAACGATCCTTCACTGAATGAAGGGTTTTTAAGTCATAAATAGTACAGGGTTATATTACTTTTGTTCCTACTTACTGTGAGTGTTATTCTTTTCTTCATGTGTTCAAGGAAATATTGTATGACCTTACTTGTTTGTATAGTCTGTTTGCTAATGTCTCCTGATCGTTACAGCTGACTCTAGGACACCTTATAGTCTTTTACGTTATTGGTTAGTGTTTATGGTATTTGTTTGTCATTATGAAAACGTTCGTATCTGTTATTATATCCCGGGAGCAAAACTCTCCTTGATCGTTCATTTTAAATATTTGGTGATTTTTAAACTAACACCCCACCTTATCACTTTAATATTTTTCCAGTAAACACAGTTTACTCCAGCGTTTTGGTTGGATCAAACTTGTTAAACATCTAAGTTTCCTTGATTCACACTGAACTTAGATTGGCATTTCTAAGTTTTCTATTCACGACTGATATTGAGATGGGTCGTGAGAAGTTTGGAGCAGATTTAACCAAGACCTTGAACGCTTATTGTGTCAACAGCTGAAAGTTTTCGGATTATACTCCATCAAGTAAAAGTGTGAAGTCGTATTATCTTAACCTTGTCAGAACAAAAGTTTTCATGGCGTCTAGCTAATTTTGTGTACTAGATAATCGTAGATCAGCGTTATGTACTAAATAACGAAGGGCTAAGTGTAGACCACGTAGTGTCGTCTGTTTTTTATGTGGAACAACGTATTATGCTGTCCAGAGTTTTAGGGATAGGTTTAGATCCGTTGTTAGTAATAACATTAAGTTACCCATTTAGAAAAAGTTAATAGCTGCTTTGTCTTGTTACTAAGTTAATCGAGTTGTCTTAAAACTGTCAAGGTAGTCGAATAAGACACATTTAATTCTGTAATAAGTATCCCATCATTCATTGTTGATAGTATTGTGAACCCTTCGGTTTGTAAAAAAAATCGGGTAACTACATTCTGAACATTGACATACTCGTGTATTTTTCTTGTTTCATGGTTTTGGCATGCTGACCTGCTGCATAGTCCTACTGACTGAAATACTAGGCTTGTCATCTGTTTTATTTGGGAATACATACCATATATCACTTATCTGTTCAAACCAGAACTTTGGAAATTGCATACAGACGTAGGCTGAAAAAAGACTGAAAGTCGCTAAACTAGAACGTATTCACGGTATTGACTATCCTAACCTCGAGTGTATTCGTTGGGGTCTAATAGATGTGTATGATCAGTGGTCACAGTGGTACATCCACTCTCAGACTCTAAGAACAGAATTACCTCAAATCTTCCATTTCTGAACTTTAACACTATTGGTATCATTATTTTTACCTCACCATCGTGCAAACTTTCTCGTTTCGCTGTGAAGCGCAAATCAATATACCTGTGTTTTGAGTATCAGGTCTCAAGTTTTCGGTGACACTGAGTGTTTCGGTTCAGAATAAATCCTAATAATATGGATGGATTATCTTTTTAATGTGAACTTCAAAAAGTTTATTGTTCATCATTCTCCCTCGTACATATTTGTTTTTATTCTTAAGTCTATCTTGTATTGTGTGGCAACTTAAATCTCCGACGTTTTGAGCCAAATTCTATTTTATTTTATCTGCATACACTTTTCTACGACTTGAGACGATTGTTTACCAAGATTAGATTAACTTGCGTTTCTATAGTTTCATACATATAATATACCTATTTATCAGCAACCATATGGTTTCTGTGATTCAGGTTTCCAACGTGCTACACGTTTCATAAATTTGAGTACAGACTAGTCAGTGAATAGAAACCAAATGCTTAATACAGTTGGCTGCAACTTTATACAAGTTAATGGATATCCTTTTAAGTGTTTATCCCTCAAATCTTTTGGAAATGGAACTCTAATTTAGTCTTCCATCGGTTCCGCTTTTTTCCACCACAATGAAGTCGTTATAAATATGGCTTGGAATGTTAGCTGTATGTTGCATAGTAACACGTACGACACGAAAGTTGCTGAAGTTTTCCAAAGGATAGCTTGATTACATGAGATTAAACTTCATGTTGAAGCAATCCTACCGAAAGGATTTGATAGTCCTTTCCAACCACCGTCAATTAAAACTGATTTAACCATCTGAACTGAATCGTTCACAAGTAGATTAATAACTAACTGGTTTGTTTTTAAACTAGTATGGTGGTGAAATTAACCTGAAAAAGTTTTTGGAATCACAGGTGGGCGAATTGATGAACTTTTGACAGAATAGATACAATACCCAACGATGAAATCACTGGTTGATCCACTCAGTATGTTAGAAACCAAAGCTGTTGTTTATGTAATAACAAATAATATAACTTAGTGACTTATGGGGTACCAAGTGATGAGCCTGAGTAGAAACGGAAGTTGTGAAACAACCAGTTGTACTTTATCTCTACATACTATAATAAGTGATCAAAGTAGGTTCTCAGGAATACTTAAGAAGTATGGATTTGTATACTCAGCTTTAAGTCACCTCGTAAAGACTAGTGGAACCACTCGACTCCGCAAACTAAGGTAAGTTAAGCCTAGTTTTAGACTGTTAACCAGCGGTTGAGCATCGGTCACTTTTCATTATTAAGCCATCCCATTACAATGTTTACACAATTATGATCTATATAATAAGTCCCGGTAAGGAATTTTATCACAAACTGTTGGTACTTATTCGTAGTGCATACCTTATTACCTCACTCAGACTGTTCATCCCGATTATGTAATTTTATAGGGATCATCTGTATCGCGCATCGTTTAACTAGACCTTCGTTAACACTTAAATCTATCATGATTGCTTGGTTTTTCGTTTCAGAATTTCACGAATTTAATGTATATCATCATTGCTGTCATTTTAACATCAACTCAACAGTCTGGATGGTAATCATATTAGAAAACGTTTTGAATAATGATAGCAATTGTGTAAATAATTATGGAAGTGGGATATTGAGTGAACTCAAATTATTTTCAAAGTTCAAATTTTCTTGGATAGCCTGCTCTAGGTCATATAGTAAATCGTAAGTCAAGTTTTTGTATAAAAAATGTCAAAGTCTTGAAGTAACTTATCACTGGTTAGGGTGACCTATTTTAGAATACATGTATGTATATGTATTACTGCTTTAAAGTTACTTCCAAACCAATCTAGAACCTGACACATATCTCCGGATCTAATTGCCAGACCACATAAGCGCAGCGCGATGAATAAGTAATAGAAATAATAGTATTGTAAATGATGACGATTGAATACACCTACTCTATCTCAACGGATCCCAAGTTACTTCACCTAACGTTTTCAGCTGTTGGTCACTATAACCAAATAGACTCAATCTACTAACACGGCTCAGTCCAACAGTCAGTAACTTCATGGAATAATATGCAGTTTATGACCCATTCATTTTTGTCAATGAAAATTCACTACCTCATAGACCGTCCGCGTATAAAGTCAATATTGGCTACTCGGTGGTTTCAACATACGTTAATAATGCTTTAAAGAAATCTACGACCAAACATTAGTAACTTACATATATCCTATATTTTTAATGGCCACGTTTCATAACCGCATAGTAAAACAAAGCAAACTTCTGGGCAGTAAACTTGTTCTTCAGTTAGGAAGTAAACATCAAGTTTACGTCACAATTAGCCCAAGTTGGAAATGGCCAATCGAGATTTCCGAATCTGTGCCGAGATTTCGTCAGACACCAGCCGAACAAAGCTGATGGGACTTCAAAGTTAAGTAGTGGCCGATACACTCAACTACTTCACTCCCTGTCACCAGCTAGGGCGTTAATGTAGACCAGTATTCAAGCAGCATTCACTTAGAAGGGGAGATATTTACCACAAACACTTATTGCTTATATTATGATGTATGCTACTTATGCAAATAGAAATAAGTAATATGTGGCACCAGTCAGAAGTAGAATGCCTACCAGCAGAAAGTTGAATTGAAGAGAACAGGAAGGGAAATAGAAATTGTAATAACAACAGAATTGGAAGAATCATGAAGCACATGCAAGACGACTGAAGGAAGGTGCGCAAATAATGTATTTAATATACGGTTTTCATATTTAACGAAGACACTAATTTGGCATTAAATGATAAATTGGTTTTCCCAACTTCAATTCTCGTTCAGTACAATATAGCTATTACATAAACTATCTATATATATCATCAATACGTGTAGACAGATGAAGACTATTATCGACGATGACTAATCAAGAAGGACTTAGAACAAGCTTTTAGAACGCTATCAAAAAAGTTTCCCGTTGTCACTTATCCAACTGCAACCTAAATATATATATATATATATATATATATATATATATATATATATATATATATATATATATATAAAGATGAATATGCAATTGTAGAGAAGTCACTTTACGGGTCTGTGGTTCTGAAATTATTGAAGTGCCTAAGACAAGTGACATGTGTACTCAGGCCATCATTTATCTTGGCTAAGGTGTTTGATTTGAGTGAAAGTAGATTAGAAACAACTCGACGATGGTCAAACTGAAATATAGTATTATCTTATGAAGTTCTTATTTATTGGTTTGTGTTACTTAGTAGGACAAAAATCCCAGGGATTTTATAAATCGAAGGTCGGAAACCCTATATCGTAACATGGTTTAAAAGTAATCACAATAGCACCGGTGTATTAATCTTATTACTTCTTACCATCTATTACCTGATATTCCTTTTTTTATCCATCGATTTCAATCTTGTTTAACCTACTGTTTTCAAGCTTTATGTACTGTTAAATGTGTAGATATGAATCAGTTCGTTATTTTGTAAGGTTTTATTCGAGGATTAGAATTATACTTCCTTTAAAGATCCAAATATACTGTTCAATTTTCGATATTTCTGCTTTCAAACAGTCAATACTGTAAAAATATTATTATATTCGCCTACCGTCTTTTTTGAAATTTCGTTCGTGATAAAATAAAAGTCGTTGTCCCTATAGCATTACACCTGCCTGGACTCCGACCATACCCTAATACGGGCACGCATCTGCTTGCGTCCCACTGGACGCAAAAAATCTACAGTAAAAAGACCCATTAGAACTAAGTTGAGTAGCGAGAAAACCAAAAGTAGGTTCCAGGAACAACTGTCACAATTAGGTAGTTCTGAAAACGAGGCTGACCCAGATGTTGCTTGGAAAGATATGCAAACAGCTGTGGAAACAGCAGTGACATCTATCAGTGATTTAAACAACAGGGTTATAAAGAACCAAAGGATTTCCTCAAGGTCTATTGCACTGATGGATTTTTGTAAATTCATCCCACCAGGCTCTGAACACGATGAAGAGTGACAACAAATCAGATCTAGGTTAACCAAAAGTCTAAGGAACGACCGTGAGCAGTGGTGGGCAACGGAAGCAAAAGAGATGGAAAAGGCGGCGGCTATGGGGAACACAAGACAGCTCTACAGACTAATAAAAGAATATGGAATTAATAAGTCAAGTGTGAATCAGACTATTTTGGAAAAAAACGACACCCTTATCTGCTCCCAGTCCAGACGTTTAGAAAGATGGGCGGAACATTTCAGAGAATAGTTCAGCTGGCCTTCAGCTACTCTACAACTACCCTCCATTCCCAGACTGTGTGAATGGAAAATTGAAGTAGGTCCCCCAACTCTAGCAGAAGTTCAAAAGGCTATAGCTAATCTGAAACAAGGAAGAGCAGCTGGTCCAAATGGATTGACTCCAGAGGCCTTTAAGGATGGTGGTCCAATTTTAGCGACTAGGTTGACTAATATTTTAGCTAAGATCTGGGAGTTAGACGTTATTCCATCTGACTGGTCACAATCACTTATCATCCCAATATATAAGAGAGGGTTAAAATCATCCCGCGACAACCATAGAGGGATTAGTCTAACTAATATAGTATCTAAAATACTAGCCTCGATAATTATCTGACGCCTAACTAAGACTCGTGAACTGTAAACACGAGAGAATCAAGCTGGCTTCAGACCTGGTCGTGGCTGCATTGACCACATATTCACCATTCGTCAAGTTCTAGAACATACACAATTAATGAACTGAACTGTCTATGATCATGGAAACTAATTTTCTTGCTTCGACGAACATTCAAATGATTCACTTATTACTATTGCTGCTATTATTATTATTATTATTATTATTATTATTATTATTATTATTATTATTATTATTATTATTATTATTATTATTTACTACGTCATTATTCACCCTCTTTTATTCCTACTCTGTCTATACAGCAGCTCGTCTATGGTGGAAATTCGACTCTATCTAAACGTTCTCGAGTCACTGTCCGGTTGAAAATTGTATGTTACCACCGAATACGAGGACTGAAGCAGTTTTTCTGAAACCACTTGCACCATTCAAACTGGCTGCCTTCAACGTTCGCACATTTATGCAGGTCGGAAAACAGATAGGGCTGGCTATGTCCTTATAAAGTCTTAATATCGATGTTTGCTGCCTATCCGAAACCCGTATTCAAGACTCAAGTGAAGTACTACAAATTCACTCTCCATCTGTCGCTTCGAAAAGCTTGTTTTACGTGCGCTTATCAGGAGACCCTGTGGCATCTTCGTTTGGTCTTGCTGGCGTTGGTGTCGCACTAAGCGCTAGAGCTGAGGCAGCACTAATCGATTGGATCCCCATTAACAGTCGGTTATGTGCTGTTAGATTAGAGAGTTCCATCAAAGTGATAAGAAATCGGCGTGAGAAACGATGTCTTTTCGTCATCTCCGCTTATGCCCCGACAGATTGCAGCCCGGATGCAATCAAGGATGAGTTTTACCACCAGTTATCTGTTCTTCTCCAGAAAGTGCGTTCGACAGATATTGTAGTACTAGCCGGAGACTTGAATGCTCAAAGAGAGTCGTTTAGACGGCCGATGGGGACTTGTTGGTCGCAGGACAGACAACGGAGACCGTCTACTGCAACTGTGCACAGACCACAACCTGTTTCTGGCCAGCACTAACTTTCGGCACAGTCATCGCCGATGTGCCACCTGGCGTCCTCCCTCTGCATCTCAAGCCTGGACTCAGATTTATCACATCGCGATCAGCTACCGCTGGCGTGGTTGTGTACAAGACTGCCGCCCATTTTGGAGTACCTATCTGGACTCTGACCATGCCTTGGTCTGCGCCAATCTTGCCTTACTTTTCAGTGGCCAACGAAGTGACCGCCGCCAACGGATTGATGTTAGCAAGCTAGTTGCAACTTCTGTTGCAAGTAAGTATCGAACCGAGCTAGCTTCTAATTTAGCTACCATTCCAGCGAAAAGTATAGATGAGCATTGGTTGCAATTGCATGACGCCAATAAAATGGCGGGTACAGTCAGTTATGGGTTTGCGAAACGTCCTGCTTCTAAGCACTGGGTTTCTTCTGGTTCCTTACAACTCATTGAAGCCCGTCAGTCTACTCCGGGTGACCGTGAGTTTGACCACAAATGAAGGTTGTTACGTAGTGAAATTTGGCAAAGCTTGCGTAAGGACCGGGAAGCCTGGTGGTTGGAACGTGCTAATGAGCTGGAAGCAGCAGCTGCACCTGGTAATTACCGGAAGCTCTTACAACTCATCCAAGCCACTGGCAGCAAGAAGTCTGGTGTGAGCGAAACAATCTGTGAGGATGACGGGATGCCAATCACTAACATCCATCGACGTCTTGGACGATGGGCAGAATTTTTCGAAGGGCAGTTCAACTGGCCTGCTGCTCCGGCAACATCGATCGGACTGTCCTGCCCTCCATAGCCAGTGACGACTGATCCATCAAATGAGGAGGGAGTTCGCAAGGAACTCCAACTCTTGAATCGCTACAAACCACCTGGCCCAGATGACTTATCTCCGGCTCTTTTTAAAGATGGTAGTGACTTTCTGTCTAAGGAACTGACGACGTTGTTTACAAAGGTGTGGGAGCTAGAGAGTGTATCAACGTCATGAAATGAGTCGATAGTTGTCCCCATCTTTAAAAACGGTTCACGTCGTTCCTGTAACAACTATCGGAGAATAAGTCTACTTCCGATTGCGTCCA